AATATAACATCTGCATTCTGATACCTTCATTAAAACATTACTGCAACAACTCCATCGATGTGTATCCCATTTATGGTTGTCTGATTTGTTTCCATGGTGATCGCTGCTCCAAAAATGAGCTGTCAGTCATTAAGAATGGAGTCCAGTCAGGGATTCAGGAACTGAGCATCATGTTCATCATTTTTTTTAAATATACTTGATAAGGAATAGTTCATCCAAAAATTTAAATTTGAGAAAAAAAAACTGTCATATTTTGTGTTCCATAAAAGAATGGCAGTAATACGGTTTTGGAATCAGAATTTTGATGACTGCCTTTCATGATGCTTTTATAGAATACATTTATATATGCATATGTGTATGTGTGTGAATATTCTTCATATATAACAGTAAAACAAAATTAAGCAGAGTAAATAATGGCAGAATTTGCATTTATGAGTTTACCATTCCTCGTTGTCTTAATTACTAGCCAGCAACATATTTTTTTCTCATTATTTCTGTCTATTTTTCATTTCTCTTTCCTTCTCTCTTTCTCATTCTCTCACTCGTCAGAAGGAGCCACCTCAGCAGACATCAGTGTCAGAGTGATTTGTCCTGGGTGACGGTGCTTGAACTGGGGCTGAGAGCTGAGTATTACTCATTGCCAGTGTGAGAGTGTGTGTGTGGATGGCTTTAGGGAGGTACATGACATTGACTATTAAAAAAAAAAAAATCAGGATTAAGAGTAACCTATTTCTCCAAGAACAGAGAAGGAAAATACTTGGCAACGAAGTATGCAGCAAAATCTTAAATTAATCCCATTAGAATTTTTATTAGATGCAATTTGGATTCAATCCTAAAGAATACTAACAGGAATTTTCTTAACATATTCCAAGATAGCACTCTGTGAGAAATAAGACATCTTCAAATGGTACAGCGGCAGCTTGTCACTGAACAGTACCCTCAAAAGATACACATTTGAACCTCGACCCCTAAAGGGATGTAGTAGCCTACCTTAAAGGTACATACAGTATTAGTTCCTCAAGGTGTAGTTTTAAGGCATCTGTCCCGGTGAAACAAGGTGTACCCTACCATTTTTTTTCTGGCAGTGCACAGTATTAAACAAGAAAAAATTTTGTAGAACACATGGTTCTCAGTGGGACTATTATGATTATTAATGACATAAAATGTCTATTTATCTTTTTTTATATAGTAACTCCAATAAAGCACTTTAAGGTTGTGCTTTATTGTGTATGTATAAAACATTCATAATATAATAATAAAGTGTGTGTGTGTGGGGGGCGGGG